TACTCCCAAAGCATCCGTGAGTTACAAGCTGCAACGTCAATTAGATACCATAAAATCCTAGACCTTCTTTTGAATGACTAATCTACACTAACTGCATTCTTTACATTCCACACGTACTTGGGCTGCTGTGAAACATATGTGTGTTCTTTTGCAATAGATATGTTTCATTTTTGAGAATTCAGGGCTTAAGAATTAATATTGCATGTGAACCACTGAAAACACACATTCATTTTCATTTCCTTGACTACCAAACAGGAAATCTCCCCAATTAGATGTCTGCTAAGAAGAAAAAACAGGGGGGGCCATTCTCCAAGGACACAGCAAGTTCTGTCAGGTATTTCAACACGGTGGAAGAGTAGTGAGGTTTTAATTGGCTTTATTGAGCTCACTCACAAGCTACAACATTCTTTACCTCAGCAGTGTGGTATTCAAAAGGGGGAAAAACTACAAAGTTAATTTCTACCTTTGAAAACATCAAATGAATCATGTCCAGTTTCATCCTGTTAACTGAATGCTCCATGATAAAAGTGCACATATCAACACTAGTAAGATGGATATGAAAAAGTAAAATAGATTCTAGAAAACGCCCCACCCCCAATTTAGTTGATGGAGCTAGTTAGAAGCTAGAAGATAAGGAACTGGTTTCTGGTTTGGTACTATTTCCCTTCTTTTCTTCACTACTATATTACAAACTACTTTCTCTAGACAGTTCAAAGTCAGAAAGTTACCATGTGTAACCCTGTTCAGAACCAGGTGACAAGGACATTCTCCAATCCAAATTCTTGCCAACTTGAAGGTGAGTGCACTGGCAGTTATGGACTCTGAAAAAATTGAAAGAATAAAATGTAAGAAAAAGCATGAGAAGGTATAAAAATGTTCCTTTTAAAAATAGTGCCAAAACAGGAAGGACTGAGGAGATAGTTGTGGTTTTAGTAGGTCTCGGTTAGACAGATGTACACTATTTGTTTTCTGCTTTAACTTCACCAAAAAACTAAAACAGAAAATAGCTAATGAAATCCAAGCGAGGTTAAATCTTCCTGGTTTTGTAGAAAGTATATACGTTTGAGCCTACAGTTGCTGCCTTAACTGTACCTACCACCACCGAAGCACTGAATAGCAAGCAGCTGGGCAAGTTCTGTGTACAGATGGGTTTTTTCCTTACCCCAAATTTCATTAAGTAGATACCACTGTTCAATGGAGCATGAGTGTGGAGGACCACATGTGGAAAACGGGGAGAAAACCCATGGAGTCCTCATTTGAAACCAGAAGAGACCTTAAAGCTTGAGCTGCTCTAACGTATTTTTTGCAGGGTAAAAGGTAACTAGGGATTCAGCCCAGGGCCTTCACAATGAGTTGCATCCCAGCCTTTTCCCTTTCTTTTTTTTTTTTTTTGTTTGAGATAGGGTCACTGTAAGTCACTATGTTGCCTACAGGGAGCTTGAACTCGCAGTCTTCCTGTCTCAGCAACCCATTTATTTCCTTTCTGTTGTCTTCATGTCCTTTTTGTGTCCTGAAAGCCACAGAAGCAGGACAGGACGGCAACTGGACCCTGAGCATACACTCCACCAATTTGCCTTCCCATTCAGCTTCATCGTACACTGCAAAAGGCTTTGCATATCAGTTAATGGAAAGTGCACTGTGCCTGTGCAACACCTGTCCACAGTTCCCCACCAAGCCTCAGGACTAAGAACGCACACATCAACAAGCCACTGATTATTGGGAGGGAAAAAACCCAGGCAGTTGCCTATGAGATCCCTGAAATGGGCGCAGGGCCATTTGGACAGGGAACTCTGGGAGTCCAGGCACCACAGTGTGGTTTGGAAGTAGAGGCACAGCCTCTGGGCATTCTGTTGGCTCTAGCCCACCTTGCTCCATGAAGAGTGTCAAAGCCTTAGGACAGAGAAAAAGTCCTCTGGAGTGGGGACCCGGGGTAGGCTCCATGGCTGTGTGAACCCAAGGAAGCTACTGGCCTCTGGATATAGGAATGATTCTTGGTAGTAGACTATCATCATGTCTACCCTTACCAGAATGTTCTACACGGCTACAAATGAACTAGAGGCCAAGTCAAATGTCTGGAGTAGCTCAAGAACAACCTTTAAATTTCCCTGAGTTATTTTTTAATGGTGTTGACATTAAAAGGGAAAAATAGTTTCTAGCTTAAATTATCATGGTAATTAAAGCAATTTATCTTTGACCGGGAACTACATAAAGTTTTAAACTTTATAAAGACTGTACTTCATTTTAAAAGACCAACCCAACATCTCACTTGTTTAAAATGTTCGAAAACTTCCAAACTAGCTTTTTCATTAGTTGAGGGCAAAAAATTTACCTCCAAAATCTTGATGGAAACGTTCCTTCTGTCATTCATTATTTTCTCCAACCTCTTAAAAATAAGTCACACAGGATATAATGGTTGGTTAAAAAAAATTTTTACGAGATGACCCACACCAAGATAAATGCCTTTAAAGAAAAATACATGGGGGCTGGGGATTTAGCTCAGCGGCAAAGCGCCTGCCTGGCAAGCGCAAGGTCGTAAGAAAAAAAAAGAAAAATACATGGTATAAGCTTTGAGCCTTTCCAGTGAAAGAGAGAGACAAAGATGAAATGAGGAGAAAGGACACGAAGGAAGATTCTTTCCCAAATGATGTATGTTCAGCAACCAAAAATAAGGGCAAATCATGAGACATAAGGAAATGACAATAGTTTTTATCTTTTAAAAATTTTTCAACACTAGATGAGTTTTCAAGTTGCTCCAAAGTATAATAATCTCAGCTTCAGTGCTGTGATCTCTAACACATTGTGTTCTCATTCAGTGAAAAGTTATGCCAAATCACCAAGGAACACTGTGCCCATGTTAAATGGGAACATCCCCATGCGAGCAAAATGAAAGACTTTTTTAAAAAAGGCAGAACTAGGCATTCTCAAGAGCTATCATGAGATTTTGATGACAAAAATGCTTATCAAATGTAAATATCTAGAAGGTAATTGGTGTGGATCAGAGCTGTTCCTTTCTGTCCTGTTAATCTGTATGATCTTCCCTGCGGTCATAAACTGTGGATCCGCCTTTCTCTCCCAGAGCCCTTTGAAGGAAGTGCCACACAATACATTCAACTTCCCAATGACCTTCACTTATTATTTGGTCTTCGAAATTGAGCAAAATTGTGAATAGTTTGAGAAGTTTAAACAAGTGCATCTTGGAGATTTGTCCTGGTTTCGTTTTATAAACTGCTCTTGAATAAAATACTACCAGTGGAACAGGGAAACCTTCCTAGCTCACTAAATGTTAAATGCTCTTTAACAGTAAGTATCATTATTCCTAGGTCAGAATCACTATTTATATGCAAAAATGTGAAGTTTTTACATGAAGTTACGTGAAGCAGTATTTTTAAAAATATAGTAATTGATACCTCATACTTTAGTTTTGCTAGCTAAATGTATATTTCTATATTCTATGTAGCACCAGGATTTTCTGAAAACAACTAGCCATTAACATCTCAAAAGTTTTGCCATCACTTGCCCAAACTACAATTTTTTGATTTTAATTCAAGTTTTCCCTCATAACCTTAAGGAAATAGTTTAGCTGTAAATTCATATATGTAATTGAAATTGAAATGGACATATTATCTAAAGCCTCCTATTTTCATGGGGGAGGGGATGGAAACAGGAACCAATATTTAGAGTAAAAGAGTACCTATAGAAACTTCTAAGTGTCAAACACTCTATATGTATATCATCTCATGTAATTTCGCACTGGCATGCCATAAAGCATTTGAATTATTATGCCTGATTTTAAATACCACAATAGGCTAGGAGATTTAAGTACACACAGTAAGTGGTAACAAGAGGATCTGTACACACAACTTTCTGGTTCCAAAGTCCTTCTGTTTCTTTCTGCCAGTGGCTTTGGTAGTTTCCTTTAATTTTTTTGCTTGTCCTTTTGATATTTTAAAAGAGAACACAAAGCAAAATGCTGTTGACTTTATTTTTGGTGCTGCCCAGCTTTATCTTTGTATATTAATGACAGACTTTCTCTGGTAACTGGCAGGCAACCCAGTCTTGAGACTTCCCCATTTTTTTTTCACTGCTGCAAAAAGCTGATAATAGAAGCTGCTCCTCCTGAATCACACACATGCGCACACATGCTCACTTGCACTCATTTTTTTTAAACTGTAAAGTTATATGGATTTAAACCTTATGCACTGAGTTCAGAGAATGCCCCATGGCTTCAATCATCAAAAACTGAACTTAATCTGACATTTATCCCAACACCAATAATGAAATAAAGAAAATGCAGAGTTCCGTGTTTCACCTGTCCCGCCATCTCTGTAGAGCATCATAATGGCATCTAAAAATTATTCCTAAGAGCCCTATGGCAGCCTTGATCAGATGTGCTGTGTACAATTTCAGACTGGGTCACTGCAAACTGGAATACTAGACACAGTGCAACAAAGCTTATACTGGGAGCTACCGAAAACTGGCAGTACCCCGTTACCCATGTTATAATACAGCTACATTATCTCCTAAGATGAGTCAATCTTGCAAATAAAGACCTTGGAGGTGTGCCCTATAGTATTAACTACTTACTTGCAAATTTTTACTTCTCAGTGGTCAAATGAAATGTCAGCCTTTAGCATAAAAATTTTTATGCTCCAAAACACTTCAGTTTGTGCTTTGGGTTTCTTTAAAAATTTCAAAATGTTAATTAAGCGCTCCAATAAGCATGCCAAATTGGTTAAAAGACGCCATATTTCTAACTTCCCAAATACTTTGAACAGTTTTGTTGGCATGTGTGATCCTTTTCTGGTACTGCATCAGAAATAAAGCTTGGAAGTTAAAGCTCATCAATAGGTATGCCCCAAACAAAATTAAATACTTGTAGAGATGAATATCCACCTTAAATACCAAAGAAAAAAATAGAATTTACTTTTGCTGAAAAGTATCAGTTTATTTTCATTTAATGTCCAAGCCACTGATTGGCAGATTAAAGCAACAAACGCTTGTCCAGTTTAGTTAACATTTTTTATTTTTAGAATATAATCTACATCTGGATTAAAAAACGTTTTAAATAAATTTAAGAGAGAACAACAGTGGAACCCTTCATCATTCTATGTACAACACAGATAGAATATCAGTTGGTTCCATTTCTGATGAATCCATTTTCTCATAATAATGTTATTATTTTTCACTGGGTGGCAAGCTCCGTACAAGCTGGCGGACGGCCAGCTCACACACACTGGGGTGGGGGCGGGGCGGTGTGAAAGGGATGGGGCGGGGTGCCACAGGATTGCTGTACAGTGTAACAGAAAATCATTAATAAAGTAGTACCGGTTACTAACAGTGCTGTTTGTGCGCTTATCACAATGGAATCACTGAAGTTTCAGAGCAAGGAGGGAATTTGAAATACTTAAGACAGGGCCACTGTTACAAAGAGAAATAGTGCAAACAGGAAAACTGACGCAATCCTAGCAACGCTAGGGCCTCAGCCGGCTCAACAGCAGGGCGGGCAGAAGATTGCGCGCTCCGCCTTCCGCAGCACCCGGCTCAGGCTGTGCTCCCAAGTGTGGCAACCCAGCGCCACGCCCTGGCAAGGTCCCTTCTCAGGTCCTTTGCCTCCAGAAATTAGAAGAGTAAAAGAAACCCCAAGAAAGGCACAGGCTGAATGTGGGGCGTCAGCTCAGTCCTATTCCCAACAATACAAATACAGTCCCCTCGTGGGGGGATCCTCAAGCCCCCGTCTCCCACCAAGAGTTTCCTCTTCTTGAGAACAAGGCCCTCTCCTCCACACATTCCCTCTGAGCCCCCTGCACATACACAGCCCAACTTTGCAATGTGCCCCTCGTGCCCCACAACCAGAAAGAAAATAACTTTGAGGAAAGACAGAGGGTGAGAGATGGGCCCTGAGAGGGTGCTGGGCAGCCACAGGCGCCCCGCCTCAGTGGCCCCAATTGCTGAAGCCGATCTCCTGCTTGTATCTATTGGTCAGGATGTTGGCTTTGTGGGTGAGTTTGGAGAGCACAGTGTGCAGCCCGCGCAGGTGATAGTGGAACTGCTGCTCCAGGTCTTCCTCGCCGGTATCCGCGCTCTCCAAGTGGCTCAGGTCCACCAGGATGTCCTTGGACTTCCACGCGTTGTTCTCCTCGCTCCCTGCTGCAGCGGAAGGCGGCTGGTGCAGGACTCCCCACTCGATGTCGTTGCGAATGGACTTGAGCAGCACGTAGTGGCTGTACATGTCCCGGGAGGGCGCGAAAAAGCTGCCGTTGGCGCTGCCCGGGCTGGCAGCCCGAGGAGGCGTGCGCTCCTCCAAGCAGCTGCCTCTGCTGCCTACCTCCACGCCGACGCCGTTGTCTAGCTCAGGCTCAGCCAGGGGCACGTCGCGCAGAAGGCTGGGCACCATCACCGTCTGGTCCATGTTGTTCACGGCGCCAATGAAGCGATTCATGGCGTTAAAGAGCGAGTGCTTCTGGTTATAGGTATCGCAGATTTGCATCATGATGGCTGCGGGGGCACCGAAGCGCGGGGACACAGGGGCACAAGGATGGTCGGCCCGGGCTTGGGGGTGCCCGCCTTCAAGAGCTCTCCAAGGCGAGGCCTGCAGCCCAAGCCTGGCGATAGCCGGTGAGGGGGGATTCCCGACTCCGCCTACGCCCTGCACTCTCCAACTCTCGCCTGGCTGGCAGCCCGGGCCTGCCTAGTGTGCGGCTTCTCTAGCTTGGACGTCCGGAAGATCTCGATGGTGGGGGGGGGGGGGTCGAGCTCGGCCTGGTTAGGAGACAGGAATAGAAGAATACATTACTCACCCGGTTAGGTTGCTCAGCGCCCCTGCCCACATGCTCCTCCCCTCCCTGGCTACTGCTAGCTTGGGATGGCGTCGGGGTGGCTCCCGGAGACCAGGCGGTCCTACCTCTACGCCTCACAGAAGAGGGCTGCTTAGCAGTGGAAGAGGATCTTCCCCCTCTTCTCTCTCGGAAAAGCCTGAGCTCAATCAACCACGCTGGCCGGGGCGGCAATGGGGCGGGGCACCCACCTCCTCTTTCGGCTCAGTGTTCTCTCTGCCAGCGGCTGCCGCCCAAGGGCCCTGCGGTGCTCAGTGGCTGGACTGTGGCTGCCGGCGGCGGTGTCTCCGTCGGCTCCCTACCCATCCCAGGTGTTCAATTTATAGTCCAGGAAATGTGTCGCCGGTGCCCAGGGCCACCCCCTGTGCCTCCTCCTCCAGCCTCCCCCAGCAGCTCCTAGATAAAAGGCCCCAGCCCGGATGGCCGAGAGTAACACTGGCCCGGCCCCTTCTGCTGCTGGGGCGGGGCGCGCCAGACCAGCTCCGCCTCTCGCCTGATACCCGGGCCGAGGGAGGGCGCCGGGGCAGGGCAGGGCAAGACCAGGCAGGGCAAGGCAGAGAGGGATGGCGCAGCCGCGCCCAGCCCGCGCCAAACCTAGGGCCAGCCGGCTTGGGAAGGGCCAAGCACTCCGCGGGTTCAGAAGGCGCCGGCATCCCAACCCAAAAGAGGGCGGGCTGGCGCGCGGATGGGTGGGCGGGCTTGGAGCGCGCTCGCGAGGTGGGATGACCGGAATGCACGTGTCCGGGTTGCAAAGTGAGCCCCTCAACCCTGAATCCAGAGTGACCGCAGGAGGGAAACTGAAGCCCCGGTTTATTATTAGCCCTCGGGGAAGAGAGACCCGCATCTGCCCCAACTCCATCCCGGGACTCTTATGTAAGCTGGACATGCGGGGTGCACGTGGACGCGCAGTGCTCCCTCCGCGGCCCTGCACTCGGTCAGCAGCTGGGGGAAGGGAGGTCAGAGGCTTTTGCCTTCCGCCAAGCAGAGCCTTTCCCAATTTTTCCTATAAATGCTGCCAGGAGTCAGAGCGACCTAACATTAGATTTATAGGTTTTTTTTATTTTTTTTTTTTTTTCTCCAAGAGATCAGAACGTGGCAGCGGCAGCGGAGAGAAATTATGTTGGAAAGCCCAGCCAGGCCCTGTGACCTTTTGGCTGTCAAAAGGCTACAAGAGGGTGACAATAGTAGTCTGGTGTTAGGTGTCTTTCATCTTTTAACAGAAAAGATAGTTCTTAAGCACAGGATCATTTAATAGAACCTAACCTGGGCACCAAATCCCTGGATGTAACTTTTTAAGACTTGCACCTTAAATTTTACTTTGCGACTTCCAAGCCAGGGCCCAGTTTTTAGTTTTCCCATCTCACTTCCCCTGCCATGTACCTTATCCACCAATCTTCTGAAACAGTCCTACAGACCATTATGACTCAAGCTTCTAATTTTAAATCCCTTTCCTCTAAAATATTGGGGATGGGGGTTAGCACACTGTTTTCCTGAACAAAAAGTGCCAGAAGCCAGACGCATATAACATCCGGGTTTCTCTCTTTCACTTGAACAACCTATATATTTAAAGGAGCTGTACTTAAATATTTTCCAGGACAGGCTATCTTACAAATTGTATTTTGAATGAAAGGCTAACTTGGAGCAACAAGGGCTAACAATAGAACAAAAGTCAGTGATGACCCTTGGGGACCATTCTGCCCCCACCCCCATTTATTAGCCATAGATCATAGCCCTTGTCTTCTTATCTGTAAAACTCTGATAATGTTACTTGCTCAACCTATTTTGAGAGATCAATGATAAGAATGTAGAGGAAACGGCGTTATATAAGGTTGAGGTATTAAAATAATTCCACCTCTCCTTTTTGAACTCAGAGACTTAGCAACTTATCCAGCCAGTTTCCTTATCAATAAAATGGAACTTCTCGAATGGATTGTGATGATTTTAGTTAAGGTTAAATTAGATAATGGATGTAAAAATAAATATGTAAATTGTAAAGTACTTTACTAGGAGTAATTGACAGTATAGGACCTCATAGTCTAGAGGTGTCTGTGAGGAGACAAAAACCTTAAAAATGTGGTAACAGCCAGGATGAGCCAGACATCCCCCCCACCCCTATCCCCCGAGGCCATAGGCCGCACTTCGGGAGTAGGAGTATAAAACAGTACATGCTGGTTTTGCCCAACAAGATTGAAAGAACATTCATTACAGGAGGAAAACTCAAGAAAAGCAGATGTGCACTTTCCGTAGGTGGTCACAAGTTAAAATACAGTTTGTCCCCATCCCTGACTCTTGGTATTTTAAGTTATGCATAAACCCTAATGAAAATTCCGGGATTCAGATTTAAGCTATTAAATGCTGAAATTCCGCCTCCTTTTCTACCCAGATCCAACAGAGTATGATTAATAACTCGTGAAAAGGGAGATCCAAGTGATCAGGCAAAAGGAGCCCACCCTGACAAAAAGCTTAGGAGAAAGCCTCTAACTCCTTCTCCTTTGGTCTCCACCCCTCCCCTGATCCGTTTCCTTCCTTCGGTGTGGACTGGATCTCCCAGTTTCTCGACTCTCGGCCGCTGTTCTTGCTCATTTCTTAAACCCTATCCAAGAAAGATGGCTCATCCACCTGCCTGCAAAACTTCCCAAACCCGGCCTCCCAGCTCCCTCGGCCCACGCAGCAACTCACACCCACCGGGGTAACTCCAGAGCAAAAAGGTCCAAGGGCCAGAGCTCTGAGCCCTTGGAATCACCCCATTGCCACCCCTCTGAATTTAGCCAATCACAAACCGTCACAGAATGTTATGCAAATTAGCCTTTGCGCCCCAGCCAGTCAGAAGCCGCGGACCCCTCCCCGCAGCATCCTCTTTCACCCCAGCAGAGCAGATCTGGCGGCCGCGTCCCCGGCAACCGGCCAGCAGCCAGTATTCCTCCTCTCTGGGCTGAAAAAAAAAATAAAAAATGGTTCCCTGGGGTCACATGGGAGCAGAACGGACTGGGTCAGGCCGGGAAGGAGATGACCAGCCTCTCTGGTTTCTCCGGGCACCTTCCCTATCTCGATCTGGAACAGGCTAGAGGTGCTTAACAATCTGCCCGGGACTCATTTTGCCTCCAGAAAACAGGGAAAGGCATAAATTGAAAGAGTTACTTTGGAGTACTTGCAGCAGGCCGACAGATGCAAGACAAGAAACTTTCTAACCAATATACCAAGTCTCATTAAAAGCCTGGTCTCAGACCATGTACCTGCCCCACTTCTTTCACAGCTCCAACTCAGGAGCTCTTATATTCTTGCTCTTATCAGAAAATGCCTGACCATCACCCCTTGCCCCAAATGTCCACAGATTACCCCTTCTCCTCTGTCTCTTGGATAGTTTGGGGACAGACGGCACTTCAGGATCTCTTAGATTCTGGTTCTTACCATGCATGGCTGGCTCATCTCCCCCGCAAATGTCTATAGATTACCCCTAAAACGGCACTTTAATCGTGACCTGAAAATCCTAAACAAAGAAGGGAGCAAGGAGAAATTGGTGGGCGAAGACAGGTGGGAGAAATAGGTCTGGCCTAGAGCTGAAAAAAAAGTGGTATTTTCAGGCTAGAAAGCAGCCAAGCCAAGACAGCAGAAATCCTAGATTACTTTGATCTAGAATATAGAAAGAACCACTTCGTGAAGTGTCCTGGAAATATAACAATCAGACTGTCCTGTTAAAGGCCTTGTAGTCCAACCACCCACTTATCCTGAAATCACTCACAACACCCCCACCAAGTGGTCGCCCTCACCCATATTCTTCTATTTTCCTTCCTTCTGTATTTCTTTTACTGCTTTGAAGCTCTCCAGAAAGCCATGAAATGCATCATCAGATGCTTGAAGGTAGATACGGTGTTCTTTGAATCCACTATTCTTCAAGTCAGTTATCCTTGGTTCACGCAACAATCCTTCATGTTCTCCTGTGACTTACTCATCCATCCTGGTCACTGTCTTTGGACGCAGCTCCAGTTTGCTTGTGTTTGTAGCAACTAGAACTCATTCCAATTACCATCTTTTCTGGGACAAAATGGAGTGGCAAAGCCATCTATTTTATTGTGAAGGGTAACCTTTCTAGGTCATATTTATTGAGAACAAATGCTTGGAACTTGGACAGGGTAATGCATTTTAACTTCACAACAACACTGAGAAGAAAGTAAGGATCAAAGGGTTTAAGGGCCAAAGTAGCAGAATTGGGGCTTGACCCAATTTTTTGATGCTAAATCCAATGTTCTTTCTACTACATAACAAATACCTACTTCTTACAATGCTGCCTGGCACTTAGTGCACTGGCTTTAACAGCTACATTCATATGCTGTTATCCTTACAACAAAATTTCGTGCTTATTTTTGAAGCAGGGTCTTACAGTTCAGGCTGGCCTTGAACCCACTACAGAGCCTAGGCTGGCCTCAAACTCATGGTGATCCTCCTGCCTCAGCTTCCAGAGTGCTAGGATTACATGCATGCATCACCATGTCCTGCAATGCATCTTATTCTTGAGCAGTAAAGATACTTTTAGAGCAAAACTCAGAACTTCATGTTATCCCATTTAAATTAATCTCATTAGATTTGGCCTATTACTTCATCCTGCTTTAATATTTTGAACTGCGATTCTCTGCACTAATACACTTAGATATTACCCATATATTTGGTACTGGGCAAAGGGTAAAGTGATGTAGAACATCTGGAGAGCTCCTTCAGCTTGATATTAGTCCATTAATTAGCACCTTTTGGCATATGTTGTTTCAGCCAGCTATGAATCATGTTAATTGTGCAGTCATCCAGCCTATATTTTTCTTCTTGACCATGGGATATTATGAAAGACCTTGCTAAATGCCTTACTGAAGTTCCAAGTTAATGGCCAGTTTTTTTCCTATAGAGTCAAGAAGGACAATTTTGTCATATATATTAGGGAAACCACTGTGACATGATACAAAACAGCAGAAATAGCATTATAATACCCTGAGTTCATATTGTGGAATGATTCTGCATTGCAACTGTCCCTATAAGAAACATCAAGAAGGTTTAGCAGAAAGAAGATAAAAAGGATGATGCTAGGAACGTGCATAGTGAATCTTCTGGCTGTAAACCTTCCATTTTCAGGTTCTAGAATGACTGGATATGTTTTAGTTGACATTTTCTCACAATCTTGTCGTCCCCTTCCCCCACCCTAGGCTTGAATCCGGGAAGAGTAGAGTCTAGGGAGAGTTGATAATAATAAAGAATGCCTTTTGTCATGTTCTCAACATTTCTGCCTCTCTGGGAACTCTAAACTACATAAAATGATGCATTTAATTATAGTATGGAAGATAAGAAAGGACAAGATTCGTTATAGTTTCTTACCATATAGGAACTTCTAAATTTGCTTATTCCTGGATTCC